ACAAACTAATCAATGAATTATCTTAAATGTATTAAAACAATAATTTTCATTAAACTATTTCAATATTCATTTCATTTACTTTTTTTCTTTTTCTTTTTTCTTCTTCTTCTTCTTTTTCTTCTTTTTCTTCGTCTACTACTTTTCTTGAATAAGAAATCATGTTGTTTTTTATCAGTCATACAACGATGACCACTATGGCTACTACTACTACGACTACCATCAGTATTAGTAGTAGACACATCTTGATTTAATACTTATCACTATATGTGATAAGTGTATCATTTACATTGTTTTAAATAAATGATCATGTTTCAATAGTAAACAATATGACTTGTGTTATGATTTATGAGTTATTTATCTATCATATAGAGATATATTACTTAAAGAATATTTAGTTGTATATAGTTAATGTCAATAGTTATGATTAGTTTATTATTATTATTATTATTCCTTCTATTACTTTTCATGCAACGTGTTGTCTACTCTATTCTATGTATGTATGTTTATACATTTATGTGTATTGTTGATTATGATGATGATGATTATTATTATTATTGTTTACCTGAATATCATGAATATGAATGAATTGAATGACTTCCTACACCAAATTCACTCCATTCATTCATTCATTCATTCATCAATCATCTATCCATCTATCCAATTTTTAAAACAATTCATTGGCATATGTTCAATTATATATATATGGATATGGATATGGATATTCAATGATTTAATTTCTCTTGTCTTATATACATGATAGATCGGATATTATTGGATATTCCATGTCACGTGTGTGAAGATCATTCATCAGGAAAACATTATGGTATCTATGCTTGTGATGGGTTAGTAAAATTATTATTATTATTATTATTATTATTATTATTATTATTATTATTATTATATATTAATGATATGGGAATGAGTTTATTAAAGATGTTCAATAATCAATATACAAAGTTATATTGTATTGTTTTAATGAATAAAATATTGTTTTTTCGTATTGTTGTTACAATAGATGGTGTCAGTTGTTGCCAATTTATAGATGTTGTAAAAAGTGATTAACTGTGTCCAAATTTATTCGACAAGAATATCATGTTTGTACTTGTTGTATTCACATGATACATAGATGTGTATACAAATAATTGTCTCTCTTTTAAAGAAGATGTTCCAATGTTCAATTATATATACACGTATAGTAATTATAATAGTTGAGATCATGAGTCCATTGAATCTAGACCCCTATGGAAAACTTGGATGCACCGGACTGTCGTTTCAGACTAGGGACTCCTCAGTGGCAGCACGCAACCACGATTCCGCCTCACGAGATTAGAACCCAGGACCTATCAGTCTTGCGCGCCAGCGCTTAACTATTAAACCACTGAGGAGTCACATATTAAGACGAAACGGCTGTTCAGTGCTTCCAGGTTTTCCATGGTTGTCCAGCTTCAATTGACCAATGAATTCAACAATTAAATTACTATAATATCCACAAAACCCCTCTATGATTTTGGGGAAATTTGAAGAGTTTTCAGATGAACTGAAAATATGAGAATTTTTTTGTGGGTATAGATAAATCAATCAGTCAGTAACAGCGTAAAACTTCGTACGTACGTACATCAGTTCGAGTTGCCACACCACATTAGCACAGAGATGCAGTTGTCAATACAGATGTCATAGTGGTAGAGGCGGTAAGAGTATAAGCAGTAATCGGAAAGATTAGGGTTTGAAGATATTATTTAAAGAGCATAATCCAGTGAAATAAATTCCGAAAGGGAAAAAAAGGGACATGAAGAATTCACGAGATTAGAATTTCGCAGAACACGAAGAGTGTATGCACCTGCGCCATTGCAAACGATTTTGAGCCATGTCATTTGGGGTCTCTAACCATCGGTTGCTATCATCTCGCGGTCTCCAACCAGGTAGTCTACATCTACCAACATGACTCAGTCCACTTGTCAGTGACTTAATGGACTTGTGTCATGTGTTCGTCAGGCCGACCCTAGCTTTCTTCCAATCTACTCCTATGTCATCGAGCATCGTGCGTCGAGGCAGTCGTTGGTTGGGTATAGGTAACACGTGTCCCATTCATCTCAACTGATGAAGTTTCATTACTTCATCAATTAATTTGCCATCCTTACCTAGTACCCGTTTCCTAACAACTGTGTTACTTACTCGGCGGTCCCAAGATATACGAGCAATGCTTCGAAGACACTTATGATCAAATACTAGTAACCTACGGATATCCTCTACTCTTACCGGCCATGTTTCACTGCCATAAAGTTGGACGGAACGAACTGCTGCGCAGTAAACCCGTCCTTTGGTTGGAAAAAAGACTAGAAGAGATTTATTCATCTTCATAATGATTGTAGTTACATAGGTGAATGATAAAAATTTTCCGGCTTCAGTCATATAATGTCTTCAAAGTAATGAATGACTTTGGATGAATGTTTTGTAAGCATCAAAAATACATTTGGATTCTCGTGTGTTTATTGTTTGATAGTGGTGTAAAAATGGTAAGATCACATCATGATATGAAATTCCTAGTTTCGAAATCTTCATGAGTAAATTGTTTGGAAACAGTTATTGATAAGATCTAATTCAAACTATGTAATAATGAAAATCTGAACATCATATACATTGAACAATTTAACAGTTATCTTAAATTAGTAGCTTAGTGTAAAATACATTGGTGTTTGAAGAGTAAAATACTGAGATTTCAGCCCTGTCCACTTGATGAGTACCGAACAGGACGAAACACACATTTTAGATTCCACTACCACCTACTATCTTAATTTAATAAAAACTCATAAGTAAATAACAATATACAAGCAATCTACTCAGGATATATACACATCATTAAAGACTGATCAATTAATGGAAAATCCAAACTGTTATCAATAGAATGAAACAGTTTCTTAATATTTACTTGTTATTTAGTGATTGATATAAGTCTATAAAATATGGGAGGTGTTTATCTGTTCACTTACAAGTAGTTTGAATAAGGTAACTTTGATTTTATTCCATAGAAAAAAATTGCCAATAGTAAGACTATAAGTTAGGGACGACCTTTGAGCGACGCCAGACTGACCTTGAGAGTATCCACCTTATAACTACGACTGAATGAGGGTTATAAACCAGTGTGAGGAATTAGAATTATGATTTTCAGTTTGATGGTTAAGGTTGGGAATTAGATTTAGGGTTTTCATCCTATTGTGGGACTCTTCAGTGGCAATACTCATCCACGATTCCGCCTCGCGAGATTCGAACACAGGACCTATCAGTCTCGCACGCGAATGTCTAACCACTAAACCACTGAGCCGGTCAGCATCCAACCGTGTTAATGTCGAATTTCAACCAATCCACGAAATTGAGCGACACATCCACCATTGTCATCAGTGAGTTACCATCTCCTAACTGACCCGCTTGAACTCTACTGTTTCTCACTAGAACTCTAGGAAATACATTTTGGAGCCAGTCACTGATGAGCATATGTTGATTAACATCAGAAGGGATAGTTTGTAGTTATTATTATATTTCTTTGTTGTCATTGACTTGTATATTAAACGTTTTCAATGCACTAATGTTGTCTGTGTTCTTTTCTTTCTGTTTTGCTTCATGTAATTGCATCTTTATGAAAATGTGGACTATTGTCGTTTACATGTATAATTGCATAAAAATACTACTACTAATAATATTAACGATCACAATACATTGACACTTATGAAATTGATTGATTCTACTTGATTGATATAGTTGTGCAGGATTTTTTAAAGTAAGTTCATCATAATGATGATGATGATTTGTTGAAATATAAAGAAGTAACGTTACATGTTATATTTGATTTTGGTTTGAATATTGAACTAATAATATCTGCGATTTTTTTCATGCTTTACTCTTAGTAACGTGCTGATATTACTTTCAGGTAGCTGGAAACATTGGACAACTATTTCAATGGTTGTCTAACTTTGGTCGATTTGGTTTATGACCTTACTAACATCTAACAATCTCAATAACATTCATACTGACAATTACCATGTGCTCATTAGTGATTAGTCTCATGGGGGGGGGATTTCCGGAGTTGTAATGATAAACTGTGATTAATGGATTGTAATAATGTTATATGTGAGGTAGCTATCCATTGAAGACAATAGAAGATGGTTACGCTGATTGAAGTTAGAAATACAAACCATTTGATGCTGACTCAGTGATCTGAAAGTAAAGTATCCTCAATAGGCTTATGGATGCGCACTTCTGAGAAATTCTGTACTAGAACGAAATAGATGATCAAGACTTCTAAGTTTTTAGTGTTTATCTAATGTAGGTCGATTGATAGTCTTAACAACCTGCACAAATCTCTAAATCTATTGTATTTTATTCTTTTTCATCTGTAGTTCAAATTCTATCTTCTTATGTAATTCAATTTCTATCAGTACACTTTATATATATCTAGTCCATAAATGATAACCATGATAACCAGTATACATGCAAATACTACATTTTCTCCTGATTACCACTAAACCTGCTTAACCTTCATATTTATGATTTTTCTTTTCTATTCACCATCATTCATATATTACTGATAAATTCATTCACTACTGAAAACTAAAAAAACGTAGAAAAACTATCATGGAATGATTTTAGCTAAACAATAATTGAAAACGAGAAACAATTGTGAATAGGTAATGGGTCATCTTAACAATAAAACTAATCTGTACTATGTATATTCACATTGTGTAACTAATTGAAATGTAATTCATCATTTTATTTGTACTTCTATAAACTCTCTTCCAACCCCTTCTCCTCTACACTATCAATTTAGGACATTTACCAACAAAAAAAAACAGGCCTCTTTCTAGTGATAAATACCTTGAGTATTATATTCATATCATATGATGTGAAGAAAAATAAATGTTTAAAGAATATTTCTGTACTCACTTCTGTCAATAAAAGATGAAAAGGGTCAAGTAATCATTTCAACTGTCAGTCATTCATATATGTAGAGATTTATATATCGTAACTCCTAATCATTTTATTCTTAATACTATTAATGATACTACTTATAATACCACTACTAACACTACTAATACTAATGCTACTACTAATACTGATACTACTACTAATAATAATGCTACTACTACTACTACTATTACTACTACTACCACTACTACTATTACTACTACTACTACTACTACTATTACTACTACTACTACTACTACTATTACTACTACTACTACTACTACTACTATTACCTAATAAGTTTAGAGATATTATTTAATGTAACACCAATGATGATGACAGTGATCTTATGATTTAAAAAAGGATCCATATTGTTGTTTTACAGTTGTTTTAATCTATTTAAACAAACAAACCAAGATTAATGGTTTTACTACTGATAACATTGAATATTAGTAATGATAATAATGTTTATTAACTATACAAGTAAAGATTAATGATGGCAACAAAATTTACAACGAAATCATTAAACTAAAAAGCTGAAATCATATGATTTTTCATAATCATAATTGTTATTATTAACTATTTCAATTCAATGTTTCATTTGTTCAATTTGGCTTTTGAAAAGCTTGACGTTTTAATGAACTAATTCACTCTCTCTTTCTCTCTAGGCAAATAAGTATGGAATAGCACAGCAGGTGGGCTATATAATTGAGTAGTACTTAAACTCTGTATCCTTCTCTCATTATATATATATATATATATATATATATATAAACGCACGGAGAGAGAGAGAGAGGTGAATGTATGTGTATCCATGTGTATTTGTAACACATCGACATGGATACTATCATGCAAGTAGATTCATTAATTTAATCTGAATAAACTTTTAGAAAAGGGGTGGATGGATGAGAACTTGAACTATATAATGTCTTTTATTGAGTGAATTGCCTCAAAATATACCAATTTATTTGGGAGAGATCGTCATATTTATTGTAACAATTATATTTTTTTATACCAAATAGTACAATATTACTATTACTATAAGTAGTACTAGTAGTTATTGGTATATTCACTGTAATGCTTGAACATTTCAAGTATAATCCCTTATGAAGTTATGCCTTAACATTATTGTTGAATCCTATATATGAACTAATAGTTGTCCAGTACACAGAAGATTTTAACGATAGTTTAAATAATGTTGATCTGTCATGAAAACTGTCTATATGTATATTTACACTAATCAGTATTTAATCAACGGAAATATCTGAATTATAATAACGTAGTGACAATGTCTTAGACTGAGAAATCAAGTGATAAAAGATCGAATATCACAGGGCGCTTCAGTCACCTCACTAGGAGCAGTGAGCTTTACTGATATTTGAAGTTCCCTGTTGACTATATTGAAACACCTTATATATATATATATATATATATATATATATATATATATATATATATATATATATATATATATATATATATATATATATATATATATATATATATATATAGATAGATAGATAGATAGATATAGATATAGATATAGATATAGATATAGATATAGATATATTCTAATCTTTCGTTTATAAAATTGATCATTACTGATTTTTATAGAGATCTATACGACGTAATCGTCAGTATACATGTAAAAGTCGTGGTACAACAGTTGGCAGTAAATCTGGTATCGTAGTCTGTCGAGTGGATAAATCTCATCGTAATCAATGTAGAGCATGTCGATTAACTAAATGTCTTGAGGTTGGTATGAATAAAGATGGTAAGTTGTTGTTTATTTTAATTTTTAAATATTTAATGTTCATTTTATCAATTTATTTATTATTTCTACACTATTAAGTTCCAGTTCAATGGTCTAAAGGTTGAACATCCACGTGAAAGATTGAATATCCTGAGTTCGATTCCTACCTACTGGATCTTCAAGGTGATATTCCCTAAAGATTGATCTTCTTTGAAATATCATTAAGAACCCGAAAAAGTGAATAGTTGTTTTACTTTCAAATAGGGAACTTTCAATAATGATTACCTATGACATTATCAGAGATTAATATCAAGTCTTATGATGAACCCTACACTACTAGAATATCATAAACTGACCTTATCGAGATAACTGATGAAAGCAAGAAAGTGTTAGATATTCGGCTTTATTCTATCACTATTGAACTCTTTATTATATATAATTTATGGACGGACCAATTAGATTTACAATAACAGGTCTTCGATTTTGGCGCGAAATTCTTTATCTATCTGGCTAAATACCTTATTGGCATTTTAGCTAATGTTAGTTTGTGATGAAAACTTTAAATACGATTTCTAACCATATGCACCAAATGTAAATCACAGTCCCTATCCTTCATAGAGTTTTAAAACCTTCATTTAGCTCAAGTCAGTAGGTAGATATTCTCAAGGCCACTTTAGCGTCGCTCAAAATTCGTCCATAAATTATAGTCTCATCAAGATTTAAAACGATTTCATGGTTTATCTGTTATGACTAATGATGATATTATTCAAGTGTTCTAAACAAATTAGATGGAGATCAGTATTTTTATGAACCATATGTCATAAGTTGAAAAGTCATAGTTTCATTGACTTCGAACAGATTTGTGCATGTATACATGTATCAACAAGTGTGTATGCATGTAGTGTGTTTTGGTGTGAGCTCGTTCTTAGTAGCGTGTTTACTCCTAGTTTGGTTGAAAAACAATGTTGTCATACTTCCGTATGCATGTGTATTTTGTGTGTGTTCAGTATATAAATATGTACATAAATATATGTTCGTGTTTTGGTTCGATGTATAAGTGTGTAGAAGCATCAATTACAGAGAACGAGTTACTGTCTCTGTTTAAACATTTCATCGATATATTAACATGTTTACTTATTATTTTAATACTTGAGATCATGAGTCCATTGAAGCTAGACCACCATGGAAAACCTAGAATCACTGGACGGCCGTTTCATCCTATTGTGAGATTCCTCAATGGTAGTGCGTATACACGATTCCGCCTCGCGAGATTCGAACGCAGGACCTATCAGTCTCGCGCGCGAGCGCTATTATTATTGGTTGCCGTTAGTTATAATAATGATATTGTCACATAAACTCGAATGAACGTTCTATATATGTTTCTAAATTTTAATGATATCTGTCAACTTGAAATTTTTAAAAAAATGACAGAGCTCTTTCATCATTTTATCTAAAGGATTCAGTAATGATAAGCTCATTTTTTCAAAAAGTGAATGAAATGCATCCTTGTGTACATCCATACATATTGAGTATAACCTACATGATAGAAATACTGAAAAAAATTAGACAATTAAATAAAAACTGATTTGTCTGAGTGTAATCTATCTATCTCAGCCGGTCAGTCAGTCAGCTACAACGTAGGATCAGACACATATATAGATTGGTCCAAGTTGCCACACCTCACTCATTAGCACAACAAGATGAACACCGAATTCATAGAAAAAGTTAATTCACTGGTCTTAATATATAAAAGAAAGTTTGCGTATAACGACATAGTACAAACAGAAAGAATCAGTTCGTAGAAAGAAAGATATGAAGCGATTTTAATCTCTTAGTTTAAAGGGAGATAAAGAGTATATACACCTACACCATTGCGATCGATTCTGAGCTATGTCACCAAGAGTCTCAAACCATCGTTTACAATAGTCACGCGGACCCCAACCAAGTAGTCTATATCTACCAACTTGGCTCAGACTAGAAGTCATTAACTCCAAGGACTGATGATACGTTTTGGTCTGGCCGCTCTTAACTATCTATCTATCTATCTAGCCACACATCTATCTATCTCTACGTTTGGTTCGACTGACCAATCGGCACAGATATTTCAGTTCTACGGAAGATTATTTGTTATCCTATCTCCTATCTCTTATAGTAATGACTGTGAGTATTGACAAATTGTTTTCTTTTTCTCAAAAATATAACTGAAACACTTTATTATAGAAATTGTAAAACAATCAATTTTATAATTTCATTCATTCATTCATTCATTTATATATTAACCGAATTAGCAGTTTAAACGCATTGACTGTATGGTACTCATTCCACTTCAAGATCATACCATCACTATTGACATGACGATTGATTGTTTACATTGTTCACTTTTAATGACTTCAAAGTACTTGTTAACATTGATTTAACCTTTTTATGTATATAAATGTGTGTGTGAAAATGACTGTATAGATCATATATATGTATGTATGTATGTGTGTACGTATGTTTGTATGCATGTACATATGTATGTATATGAATGTATATTGACTATGTATTCACTATTACAATCACTATGCTGACTATTATGATTATTACTCCTGGAAAGTAATCTCTCACTTAATTAGTACAAATTATTAAATTTTAAAAAAAGTACACTTCTGTCAATTTTCAATTATGTTATTATTATTTTATATATTTTAGAATAAAATACATAGATAATACTACTACTAGTAATAATAGTAATATAGTAATGGTAACAATAATAATAGTAATAATAGTAATAGTAATATAGTAATGGTAACAATAATAATAGTAATAATAGTAATAGTAATATAGTAATGGTAACAATAGTAATGTAGTAATGGTAACAATAATAATAGTAATAATAGTAATAATAATAATGGTAATATAGCAATAGCAACAACAGTAATGTAGTAATGGTAATAATAATAATAGTAATAGTAATAATACCACTAATAATAGTAATATAGTAATAATAATAATGACACATTAACACGTATTAACCGAACTTTATAAATCTATGTGAATTATTCAATTTCTATTCATAATGATGGTGGATGGTATTTTATATTTATTGTAATATACTTAAAATTCTATTATCAATTATTGATAGTAGAAGTTTTTATTGTATTTAATATTAGAGATTTGATTAGTGATTTATACTTAATTACACAGTACTGTTACCCTAATGTTATGAAGGAGAATAGGTTATCTATCAATATTCTTTATTGATCTCTATTCTGAGTAATCATTTCTAGTTGTGTTTTCTGTTAGAACTCTCGGTTTTTACTTTATCTAATGTTATAACGGTTGGGTCTGCATGTTTACACGTATAGGACGTTAATTTACCTGAGACGAATATTGACACTAGATTCCCTCGTAGTATTTATTCTACAGGACGGCAATACAACTCAGATCAAGAATATGTGATTAGACTGATCACAATGTAAATATATTTCCACACCAAAAACCTGACACAATCCAACAACAATGAACAATCAATAATAAGTGAGACATAATAATAATAATAATA